TTACACAATTTCAGAGTCCACCATGCCCCCTACGAACTTGATATTTTGCCAGTCGTGATAAGTCTGTTAAAGCTATCATTTTAAATTTAAATGATGAGAGGTTTCATTTGTTTTCCAAGCAGAGATGAAACCTTTTTCAAATATACTCCAGCTGCTGTGACCTTGGTCTATGACTTAAAAGTTCACATGAAATAATTTATTTTATCCCAAGAGACCTGTCAAGATTTCTCTACTAAAATGCTTTTAGATTTGATGGCTTTGTGTAAAAGCCTAATATCTTTATACTAAGTATTATCATTTGAACTCTGAATAACAAAAATAAGACAAATTTAATATAAATTTAAAGGTGTAACACCAAATCTACAGGGATATTTTCAACAAATGTGGTCAAGCCATGTCAAACTTGAAAATAATTAATAAATCATGCTGTCACTGTCAGAAAGGAAGTAGAGGTAACTTGCCACTGATGACAGTAACCGTCATCCAGGATCCTGTCATTTGTTAAGAAGGACTTGAAGAAAATATGTTTCTCTTCTCTCTCTTTAAGCCCAAGAATATGACCAACTATTTTCAGTCAATTAGATTCATAGAGTCATAGAACAAGCTCAGGCATAACACATGAAACAAAAAATATTAATATGCTTCACAATTCTTGTTTTGTAGATATTCACATCCAAAATGAAAAAGCAACTTTGGCAAGAGTATGGAATTATTTCCTTCACATGTTGGCTCTACTTTAAAAAAGCTGTTCCTTTTCCTGGGCTCATAGGAGAGAACCCTGTTAAACAAATGAGTAAAAAAAAAACCATTACATTTGTTTATTTATTTATTGGTAAAAATGATTCGAAGCTACCTATTTGTGTGTGGCAAAAATATGTAAACTTCTTAGGATTATCATTTCCTTTGAACATGAAATTAAAGTTGTTTTTATCAATGGGATGATAATCAGTACAAATGTGGAAAAGGGTTACACAGCTATTTCCAAAGAGCTGGACTTTACCATTATCAGACAGATGGTATACAAATTAAGGCAATTCAACTCCATTGTTATTCTCCTTAGGAGGAGTCAAGCAACCAAGATCACACCAAGAGCAAGATATGTAATACTCTGGATACTCTCAAAGAATCCTAGGGTAATATCCAGCTTGTCCAGAAGGATACCATAGTCAATGATGTTGAAAGTTGTTGTGAGATCCAGGAAGGCCAGAATGGTTGCATCACTGCCCAGGGTCATTCACAAGCATATCCAGGAATTGGACAGTGACTAGGAATGCTGCTATTTTGTTCTTAAGAATGCTTTCTCTAAGGCACATGACCTAGAATAAAGCTGCTATTACTGGATAGAAAGAACTCTAGGAGTCTTTGGTGCTCTCTGAGCTTGTTTTCTTGCAGACATTTAATTGCCCTAACTAGCTAACATCATCAGTGCTTAGTTTCTAGAAAGAACTCTAGAAACAATATTCTGAACACTTCCCTCGCCTCACTTCCATTTTTGAGTTCATTCTACATGAGATTTCTTTGTATATTTTTGACAGTTCAAAAGCCAAGGCCTGCCCTGTGATAGAATAATCTTAAGATTTTGGCTATGGAGATTCTCAATTATCCACGTCACAGTTGTCCCAAAGATGTTTTTCCAAAAGCCAACTGATCTTTATTAGGGGGTTTTCTTTGAAACTGTTTTGCTGCTCATCCAAGAAGCTTCTTCAGTTCTGAAAGACTGAACTGAAAAAGCTTCTTGGATGAGAAACGAAATGTTTTCAAGGGGAAAAAACCCCAAGAAAGTCTAGTTGCCTTTTGGAAAAGCACCTTTGGAATTTAAGATTTTGGAAAAATCTGAGATTAAGAGAAGCAAAACATAAAACCAAATAGAATATATGTCTGATTGAAGTGTGCAAGGAATGTAAAATCTACATTGCTTGATGTACAAAGCAAACATATGGCTCTCCATAAGTTTCATTGCTCTATTCTAGACAAACTGATTTTTTTCAATTGTGGGATTCATAATAGCCTATCTGCTGCAGTTACTGTTAATCCAGAAACCAGAGCAGATATGTAAATTTTGGGCAGGACTTTGAAGCAGAGATCCAGGATGACACTGGATGGCAGTAAATAGACACAGTGGGAACAAAAGACTTTTTACTACCATCTAATGATAGTAAAGATGTACTATAGTTGGAGTTTCTGAATGGAAATCCTAAATCCCTTCCCTACCTGGATGTCATCAATTTTAAAGATAAATTTTAACTAGAATAGCAGAATGGCAGATCCAGATTCATTTTCCCAGCTGGAACCTTATACAGGTAGTCCTTGATTTACAACAGTTCATTTAGTGACTATTTGAAGTTACAACTGCACTGAAAAAATGTGACTTATAACATTTTTCACTTACGATGGGGTGTCAAACTCAATTTCATTGAGGGCCGCATCAGCATTGCAGTTGTCCTCGGGGAGGCTGGGTGGGTGTGGCCAGGTTGGGTGCGGCCTACTGGGTGGACGTGGATGGAGTGGGTGTGACCTACTGGATGGGCATGGCCAGCTCTACATCACGTCAAGGGTGCCTGTGGGGGTCTGGGCAGGAATGGGACAGATCTGAGGGTCTCTGGCAGAAGGGGGTGGGACTGGGGCAAGCACCAAGGCATGGTCCATTTCTTCATTCCTCACAGGGTGACACTTCCCCAGCATGCACCCAGGGGGCGGGGCCAACACGATAGGGGCTGGTTCCTCGCTCTTTCCAGATGGCCTTGTGGAGCTAAGACTGAATGCGTTTCAGCATAGATGGCCACCACAAAATTGCACATTGGCTCCCAGCTGGCCTGGGCCAGGGCAAGGCAGCAGGGACTGTTCCCTCACTTTTTCCAGGATGGCTTTGCGGGCCACATGAAACCACTTTGCGGGCAGCATCCACCCCGGGCCTTGTGTTTGACATGTCTGACTTACGACCACTGCAGCATCCCCATAGTCACATGATGAAGATTCAGATGCTTGGCAACTGACCCATATTGCAGTCTCTCAAGGTCACGTAACCATCTTTGGCAACCTTCTTATAAGCAAAATCAATGGAGAAGCTAGATGCACTTAACAACCAGGCTACTAACTTAAGAACTGCAGTGATTCACTTAACAACTATGGCAAGAAAGGTCATAAAATGGGGCAAAACTCACTTAACAACTGTCCTGCTTAGCAACAGAAAATTGGGGCTTAATTGTGGTCATAACTCAAGGACTACCTGTACTTTCAGATTCTATCTCCCATCCCCAATTCTGGACAAAACAAAGCATACAGAGTATACAGTTTTGATCAGTGCACAGCTCATCTATGCTTATCTTGTTCTGTCCAAGGGGTAATTTGCTCATCCCTAAACTTGAGCATTATTTCCATTTTAAATTTACTGTATTTATCCTTCCCCAATAATTCTTTGTCTATAAAGCAAATCATTTCACATAAGAAAATAGGAATTAGCTAGTTGCAAAGTTAGATCACTGGTTCTTTAGCTCACTTGATACCTGGAATTTTCCACAATTTTAGACCAAGAATATTTCTAACTGTAACTGGAAATGGACTGTAATTGTGATTTTCTAATGCACTATTCTGTAAAATTATGAAAGGATCATTGTAACACAAAAGCCATATTGATGTTACTATTACAATGGATCTAAGTTGGCAAAGGTAGCATCATCATTAACTATGGAAAGCTTTTGTGAGACAGTTATACATTAAATTCATTTTAATTAAGAGACATTATTTCAAACATTATGGAGTTTTTGCTGGATATTATAAATCATCAGAATGGCTGCCAAACAAGTCAGACCTTTTCAAAACAGTCACCTTACCAATAATCTAAAAATGTTAACATCTAGCTTGACAACAGCTCTGGAAAAAGTAAAGCTACCAGATTACTTTATAAAATATTAGTTGGTCTAATGAAAAACATCATCTTATTAAAGAGTTTTCTCTTATTCTTCTAAAGAAATGTAAATATGTATGCTTTTGTGGATTTAGTCCTCTTCATCTGATACATGAACTAAAATACCAGGTAAAGGGAGATGGCAACAAGATGCATTATAAGAGAAATTATAAAACATACAACAAACAAAATTTCTAATAATAAATAATGACAAGATTATTGTTTCCAGATAGGGCATCATTGTTTTTCTTTTTGTAACTACTCAACAATTGATTCAGCAATTATGCAATTAGGAAAATCACCATCTCACTGCAAAATAAGAAAAGAGGATCCTCCCTCCTACTTTCAGCCAACATATGTCCAACACTAAGGTACCTGGCACAATGCCTTGGAAATATGATTGTTAAATAAGCAAATGCTACTTTTGATACTTTTCTTTACGAAAAAATGTTTCATTCAGTATCCAATCCAATCATTCAGTATCCAATCACCAGGACCAGAGATTTAGTCTTCCGAGCTTTCAGACTGGTCCTAGAGCCCATCCTCAGGAAACTTCTCTCTCACCAGAATGTGTTTCATTCTGTGCTTCATTCATGTTTCAATCACTTAAATTTTTAAAAGGCGAGATACCCTCAAGCCACATTGTTTCTGTACCTATGTGCATAGGTAATAACCACAAAGGTTGAAGATCTATTCAAATTTATTTAATTTAAAAGGTAATTAAAATGTAATTTTAAGCAAGCTAAGTTTTGCCGAAAATTATTTTGATATGTTAAAATGAGCCCGTTGCTCAAAATTTGAGAAATGTATGCTCTTTTTAAAAAGAGGTGTAGTTTAAATCCCTGCAATGCAAATATATTGTTTTATCTGGTGGCAAAATCCTTCTTTCTCCCCCTAAAATACTACTGTATATTGTGAATGTTTTTACATATAAATAAAAAGTATGTGTTTTTAAAAATGCAGTGACACTACCAAGCTTAGGAAGCATTATTTCATGTACTGCCAAACAACTCTGCCTAGTAAAAAATATTTTTGTACAAGAGTACAGCATTTAAAAAAGAACAAGTAATGAGAAAACAAAATGTAAAAATCTTACCTCATTCCCCCCAACAGCTTTTGTTAAAATCACTGCTGATGATACTGGTGGAGGCATGCAGCCTACTGTCTGCAAACTAGAGGAAAGAAGGATAAAGGAATACGAACTTTATTTTTTCTAATTAATCTCCAAATGTTCCATACAAGAGAAGGGGCACAGCAGTGTACTACTTGCTAATAGACTAAGTAAAATAAATGTAAAATGTAAAGTAAATGACTTCTGAATCTTGTGCTTACAAATAATTAGCTGATCAAATGTCTCTGAAAAACTTTCTTATTATTTATAGCAATTGTACACACTGGATATCATCCAGAAAATATTCCATTGCTAGGGTACCCAAGGCTTTCTGTCTTCACTAGAGGTGTCCAAATAACAGGTTCCAAAAAGTCAGCATTGCAGGTATAACCATGCAATCAAAGCCCCAGCCCTTTTTAATGTGCATTGCATTGTCTCATGAACATAAGGAGGAATGATGCCCTTAACGTTTTTTAACCAACTCTGTAGATGCCCCCTGCACAGGAAAAAAAAGATATGTACACCCAAAAACATTTATTTAGAGAATTCCCTGGTAAAAGTGAATGAGGAAATCTGGTCTGTACCAGAATTGAAGTTTCTTCCTAACTTCAAACCATTCAAATCTGAACAAACTAAGAGGAGAAGAAAACCTTCCTGTTACAAAGTATTGCTTTTCATGTAATTAATTTTCAGACAAATTATATTAAAGTGATTTGAGTATTACTGAGGCTCAAGCTAAAATTCTTGATAACTTTCATCATTCAAATTTTATTGTCCTCAACTACTCAATAACCTGCAAATCTACTACATGGAGGAATGTATCATAGTTCCTTTGTAGACATCATTGTATCATCACAATACATTCCTAGATAAACATATGACTTTCTTCTTTCCATTTTCATTAAACAATTATACCATCTGCTTTGATAGTTCTTGATATTTTTGTTGAGGTTGATACCTATGCACTTATTTTTCAGTTTTCTATGACTACTAGTCAGTGAACATATTTGCATATTAAATAAAATTCAAAATTTTGAATAACAGTGACTATAAGGAACTTCTGAAGTCACTATTTGAAATAATGAAAAATAATGCAAAATGCTGAAAAAGAAATCTCTACAAAATTGTGTTTTGCAATTCAGTATGCTATTTCATGAACACACAACATTTATCTTTCTATTCTACCATGTCTTACTGTATTCCTAGTCTACTACTCTTTGTAAGTGGTCAGCAAATATACCATAGGTATGTTAAAAAGAGTCATGATTTGTAAGTCTCTAGATATAAAATTTGTTGCCAAGCCTAAGTATATGTGGTATAAAAATTCTGAAAGAGTAATCTAACAGTAAGTGTCAAACCACTAATTGGCACAAAAAATAAGTTCACTATTTTTTTAAAAAAATGCTAGCGTTACTGGAAGTGCATTACTGAAAGAGCAGCAATAAATAGTTCATTGCTTAAAACATACCCTTTTAAAAGCCATTCGTTTATAGATGTAATAGATAGGAGCTGAAGAAACAGCCATATAACTGTTGGGAAGAACACAAGTGTGAAGATCTGTACAAAAAGATGCAATTTTACATGCATCAAAGCACTTGTCAGCTCCTGCAAAACAAAAGGAAAAGAAAAAGGTTGCAGTTTTAATAGCTGAAGTTAGACTCATGTTAGTATCATTAAATGTATTAGGTGCACACACTTTCAAAAAATCTGTTTCTAAACTCAATACACAAAAATATAACATGGCATTGTCTAAAATAATTAAGTACAGATTGAATATTTTATTTATTTCATTTTTAAGTTATTCATACATTTCATTGAAATGATTTCAGTCCATTTTAGCATACACACATATAAAAGGAAAAAAAAACATGACTATATATTTGGAGTGAGTAGCTGTACTAAAAAGCCTTTAAAATAGTATTTTTTCATATGGTACAGATCTTCCATCCTCATTAAATAAATGCATAGCACAAATACCGTAATTTCCGGCGTATAAGACGACTCGGCGTATAAGACGACCCCCGACTTCAGAGCCGATTTGCATACCTAGAAAGTCGTCTTATACGCCGGAAACTACTGTAATTTCCAGCGTATAAGACGACTCGGCATATTAGACAACCCCCAACTTGGGAGCCGATTTGCATGCTTTAGAAAGTCGTCTTATACACCGGAAAATACAGTAATTTTAATATATGCATGGAAATTTGAGGGTTAACAAGAAACAACCCACATAAACTACTTTTGTGCTCTTTTATAAAACGGCCATCTCAAGACATATCTATGCCACAGATTATGCTGATATAAATTTTAAAAATGGGGTTAAAAAAAAGACATATCAGTTGGGGAATTCTGAAGTTGAAGTTAAAAATGAGAAAGACTGACACACACACCCCAACAGTGTTCAATTATAATATCATCATTTTAAAATGTGGCCTTACTACCAGACTTTTAAAATAACCCAGAATTTTGTTACTATTTAAATAGCAAATGAATAAATAAAAGATGAATATTCAGTTTGCAGTACCTCTGTTTTCAGGGATAGTCCACTATTGAAGAATATAGCAGAGACAGCTATATATGTGATGGTGATTTCTGGTTTCAATGGTCCTGGAAGAGAAAACGTATTTGAACCAAGAGTAAACAAAAGCAACTAATTTTTGTAAGTCTTCCCTTTAACGTTTATAGATGGCTATTAAGAAATTCTCCAACTGTGCATTCTATAGAGAAGTTGAAACCACAATTTTAAGAATTCCCAGACTGGAAGCATTAGCCAAACTGGGTATAAGAACTCTTTTCTCTCTCCAACAGCAGAAAGAGTAAAAAAGACAATGATATAAATAGTACAGTTTAATCAGCACAGAGGCTATGTCAAAATTGTAGGATTATTTTTTTGTTTTTCTTTTTTATTAGTTTAATAATAAAAAAAATGTAGGATTATTAGACAGATTAGAAGCAGAGCACAAAGTGGTACAGTGGTACCTTGGCACTCAACTGCTTTGAAACTCATCGAATTTGGTACTCAATGCATGTTGATATGAAAATTTTGCCCCATACTCATTGTTTGTTTGGTACTCAACGTACGAGCTAGAATTTGTCAGAATTGGCTACCTTGTGAGTCATTATATTATTCCTTATGGGAAAAAACTGTTTGGTATTCATCATTCTTAGTACTTAGCGCACATCCCAGAACCAATTAACGATGAATAGCAAGGTACCACTATATACAGGTTACAAAAACATATGTCATAACTAACAATAACGTTATAATTAAGAGCAATAATGTAAGTCAGTAAAGCCAGCCATAAGGTCTAGATCTCTAGATTGTTTCTTGTTAATTACATAATTTCCATTTTATGCCATCTTAAACTATATTTGCATAACGAAGAATAGAGATTCAAGATCTGGACATGCACTTTAAAGCAAGTTTTTACTAATTTTAACCATTGTAGGTAATGCCGAAAGTCCAAATTTAGAGTGAACAAGGTCAGTTTACATAAAATGAAGAGAATGATGTTTCTACAAAGCTGGTAGTAGCAGAAGATGGTAAAAGACCCAAGTTCCTTTTTATTCTGCAGCTTAAGAAGAAAAGTTAGGTAATTGTCACACCATTATTCACTAGAGGCAATGTTTAGAAAGGAACAGAATGTGGGGAACAGACATGAGTGCTTTCTGGTTGCTTTTAAGTTTTGCCTCACATAGGAATCTGCAAAATGTCATATAATACTGATTATCTCTGATGACACAAAAACAGGGTAATAGGTACTCATAACACTTATATAACAACATTACTGGCACTATTTTAAGTTCTGATAATTGGGGGAGAAAAACACCAATGTTTTCTTGGCAGCCAAAAGTAATGCAGGCTGAAGTATTCCTCAGGCAGTTCTAAGTACAAAACCAGAAAACAAACTATTAAAATGAAACATGAGGGGCACAGTTTTGGCACCTTGATACTACAATAATCTGAATACTTTAACTTTTATTTTTTTTTCTTAGATTCAGGTTTGTTGCATATGATCACTGCTTGTATTTTAAGAGAGGCAAAATATAGTGTAATTATATAACCACATAAAAGTCAGTACTGTACTATTAAAGTCAAACATCTGCAGCCCACTATCAGGAATATCTAATTACAAAGACATCAGAGGGCCATATTTTGAAAGATATTTCTGGAAAAGAAGAAAGGGGGTTATCAAAAGCCTGCTTAAGAGGTATGCAGGCTGCATTTGAAAACATTTGTAATTAAATAAAACAGGACAGCATAAACTTTTCTGAAAAATATTTATTTAAAAATACCAGGTTTCTAAAATAAATCAAAATCCCACAAAATCCCCACTTGTAGGAACATTTAAAAAAGTGAATTTGGAAAATAAAAAAAATCTACATTCACTCTATTTTGTCTCACAAGAAATGCAATGGAATCTATAGAATTTATGAGAAATAATTACTTAAAGCAACCTTGGGAGATTTACTTTGAGCCTATATAACTTCTATGCACAATATTTCACGTTCCTCAACTATATCAATATAAGTAGAAGTGATCATTAAAATCACTTTAGGAAAAAGCATTAATTTCTCATGAGGTTTAGGAAAAATGGTATACAATACAGAAACTCATGCAAAAAAAGCTGGCAGATGGCAATACATATCTTATTATTGTAAAAGTAGTGTTTTGGAAATACTCAAACATGCACTTTAAGACAATTTATTTCTCACCATCAGAATGATCTCTCTACCTATCAAAAGTTTACAAGTAACTGTAAAGAGTGTAGATAGAAAACACTACAGCATCTTCAGTGAATCATTTCTCTTTCTGTCACAAAACAGGAAATGCATTAAGTGCAGATCACATGCACAGACATGTCTCACAATCTGATTTCAGTACTGCATAATATAGTAGATAGTGACCAACACTGTATATAACTTAAGGGCTGTGTTACCTAAAATAAAGCTACCTGTCCTGTTAGATAATGAAAGGTTCCACTGCATGTGAAGTGAGGTGTTATGGACTGGAAGCCAAGCTTTATCTACTGTAGCCTTATGGAACACTTTGTCCCTGACCCTTTTCTGTTGTTGTGTTAACTTTCCTTGGAGATAGTTTGATTCCTTCCATCATGATCTTAGAAGCCTCTAAAAATCTTCCTTTGGAAGAAGGCCTTTGATGAGGTAGAAGTCTAGTGGGGAGTATTTTTTTCTTCCATTCAAATGTATCCAATTCTTGGAAACTGCCTGAACATGTCTCTGCAGTTTTCTTGGCAAGTTTTTTTTTTCCAGAAGTGGTTTGCCATTGCCTCCCTCCTAGGGCTGGGAGAAAATGACTGGGCCAAAGTCACCCAGATGGCTTAGTGCCTAAGGAGGGACTAGAACTCATGGTCTCCTAGTTTCCAGTCTGATGCCTTAATCACTACACTAAACTGGTATTTTACTAAAAATACAGATATAAAGTTACCCTTGCCTCTTGTTATGGTTATTATATTATTTGGATGTTTTTGAGATTGCTGTTCGAGATTGTCTATGGAGATTCTCAGTCATCCAGGTCATAGTTGCCCCAAAGACGTTTTTTCACAAGGCAACTGGACATTCTTGACAAGAAAGTCCTAGTTGCCTAGTGAAAAATCATCTTTGGGCTGTTTGAGATTCATCTGGCTTATCCAAAGTGAAAAGATTGGGGTAGTATAGAAACTGATAATAAAAATAGAATGGTATGGTTAGGTGGATGGGTAGGTGTCCTGTATATACACACAGGTAAAAAAAAGAGTTCAAGAAAGTGGTTAAATGTAATGGCTGTTGGTAAGCACACTCATTTTCTAATTTAGGAATAGTTGATCAAATTTGACAACCATTTATGAACTGTTCTTCAAATAAGAATTTCTATTGCTTGAACGACTTTGAAGTTTCTACACTTCTTGCATATCCTTAAGTCCTGTAACTGGGGCGCTACTGCCTTCCCTAAAGGTGGGTGAGCGTCTTTATCCCTACTTTTGACAGCAGCTGAAACACACAGGAGTTGTCTCTTGCTACAACTGCAGCCGGATCCTTCCACGCGGAAGTGGAATCTCTACGGGCTCGCTCGCTCGGCGTGCAACGTGTCACTGCAACTTTGGGAGTTTTGAGTCCGGGAAACTCCGACCGTCCACTGAAGGAATGCTAAGATGCAGAGCCGGTATTATTTGCAAGGAATGGTTGGAAACGATTCGAAGCGAGAGGAAGGTGATTTGGCAGCTGGACTCCAATGGCGCTGCCCCGTTACGAAGAGCGAACTCTTGCATTGCTCAGGCAGAGATGCCCCCGCCCGACTCAGTCCCGATTTGGGGGGCTACAGCGACAAGGCTTCGGCTGGGACCCGGGGCAGCCCTGCCCAATTCTCTCCTTGCTTGCAAACAAGCGAGCCCCGAGTGGGAAAGAGGTGGCCAGGACCGGCAAGGAAGGCGGGAGCTCCCCCGGCAGACTTACCCCCCTTCACCCCAAAGGCCGGCTCCAGCTTGGCGATGGTGATGACCAGGACGATCCCCAGCATGAACCAGTCCTTCCTCAGCCTGTCCAGAATGCCCATGGCAGCGGCGGCGGGGCTGGCCGAGAGACTTCGGCGGCTGCGAGCAGCGAGGAAGGAGGGCGGGAGGAGAGTTAGTCAGGACTTCCCTCGGGCCCTCCCGCAGAGCGGCTCTGCAACGTGCCGCCGGCCGCAGCCAAACCAGTTAAACGCCGCTCCCGCCGCCGCTGGTAAGTATCCAGTGACAGGAACAGGCTCTCTGAAAGCCGCCATCACTACCACGCGACTGCTAATAGACTCGCGCGCACTTAGCCTCACTGGGGGGGGGGCAAGAAGGAGGCACGAGTGCAGCAACTCCACCAGGCAGGGCCTAGGAGGCCGCCGCGACTAGGAGTTTCGGCACCCATCGGAGAGCCCCACCGAGGGGCGGGACGACCCAAGCAGCCACCAAACGCTATCTGAATGAGCGCACCGGAAGAACTGGGTCCTAAGAAGAGTGCCTCTGAAGCAGGATGAAGGTTGGCTGAGCCCACCTCGGGTACTTCTCCAAGCAGGAAGGAAATGCCGGAAAGTGCAGGAATCCTGCACCTCAGCCCTTCCTCAGCAACTGACAGTCGGAGGAGAGCCAGCAAGCCATTCTCGCCAGCGGCAGGAGAAAAAGGAATTGGAAACGTCCAGTGGTGATGAAAGGGCTGCGCGCCTCTTCGAAGCTTTACGTTCGCCTTGTGACGCACGGCGTTTAGCGTGAGAACGGGCCGGAGGGCGGGACTGTACTTTCAATTCCTGGCGTGAGACACGTGTCGCAGGACTCGCACTTCTGGAGGGCGAGCAGAGAGTTAGGGGTCGTGTGGGCGCGCGCATCTAAGCGGTTGATGATTAAAAAGCGGCCGGAATTCCTTTCCTGTATAAGACTGTGAATCGTGGGCATATAGAGTCACAAGGGCACGACTTGTTTGGATTTGTTTCAATATTAGTTAGCCGCGCAAAATTAACCAGTGCTGAGAGATTACTTTGTTTTCTTTGCAATAGTGAAGAATATTTTTTTTTTCTTTCCTTCCTGGGTGATGCGATCTTGTGTGAGTTCATACAGCGAGTTCATCGAAGAATTTTATGCAGGGCGGGAGAGAGAGAAAGAGCTGCAGGAACAGGTTGGGGAAAATCTCCGTCCCTGGTTCTGCCTCTTGAACTCGGCGCTGACTCCCTCCTTTCTGCAGCCGCAATTTTAGTCCTGATCCCTGGGGGTGGACTATGCGGTTCTGAGCCAAAACAAAATCTCGAAATAGAGCTTATCGTTTATTACGCCTGCATGCATGTAATTGATTTGCTGTCTCAATCCTCATGGCAATTTACAGAGAACAAAAATAAATAAATTTTAAAGCACCACAGGAAGAAAAATATTGCAATATCAACTAATCTATGCCGTCGTTACCCATTAAATTGGCCATAATGGGTAATGTGGTCAGAATTCCTAAGTGTTCAATGGAGAAAGGACAGGCCACACGTGCTTTGGAAATTCCTGCAAGGTACCTTCTGGTCTGGTCTTTAAGGGCTGTGATGCATTCATAAGCATTAGGATTTTCTTGGCCTCTTTAGTTCTTTTCCCTGCTCTCCCAATTTATAATATACGGATGACAACTGCCACAATTCCCAATCAGGCTGCTGGGAAAGGCTGGGCTGCAATTCTGGAAGCTCTAGTTTCAACTTTTGAAGGACACCAGCTTGGGGAGTGTCATATTTGCTGATCACCTTTGTCAAGGATTTACTTTTATCACTCACCTGTTCTACAACAGTTGTATAATCTGATAAAAGCAACACACCCACAAAAATGAAACACTATTTCATACATTTTAATTTAATTATACTCTCTATTTAAATAGTGGTGCAGTCCAATATGCATTCACAGAAATAGAATTACCTGACTTCAAGGAAAACTACTCCCTATTAAAAGATTAAGATACTTATATGTATATTCTAGTGCAGTGGTTCTCAACCTTTTTAATGCCGCGACCCCAACCGGTCGTAAGTCGACTACCCAACCAGTCATAAGTTGAGGACTACCCAACCGGTCATAAGTCGAGGACTTTCCCTGCCCGGGAGCGCCGTGCATGCGTGGTGCTGCCCCCTGCGCCAGCCGAGGCGTAGCTGGCAAGTGGCAGAGATGGCGCAGGCAGACCACCGGCTTGGCCACCAGCTGGCCCAGCCCAAGGGAGGTAAGGCACCCGCCAGGCCCCACGTGTGCCAGCAACCCTCCCTGCGCCCTCCCACCTCCCACCCCTGGCCCTCTTTTACTTACATTTTTAGTAGTTGCTCAGCAGGGAGGGGTGGAAACTTCCAGACAGCTCGCCTTCGCTGCAGACAACTTGCAGCACCGTTTGCAGAATGGGACTTTTGGCGGGCTCAGCAGGGCAGAGACAGCCTGGACAATTCCTATTGGCTTTTGAAAGCCAATAGAATTAGACTCTATTCAAGAGAGTCTATTCTATTGGCTTTCAAAAGCCAATAGAATAAAAGGGAGTAGCACAGCTAAGGAAAAGGGGAAAAAATGGCGGGCTGCGTTGTTTGGCGACCCCCGTGAAATGGTCATTCGACCCCAAATGGGGTCCTGACCCACAGGTTGAGAACCACTGTTCTAGTGCATGGGTGTCAAACTCACCACGTCACGTGACGTGTTGCGATGTATCATGACTCTTTTTGCATTGCCGGCAATGGAGTGGGCGCAGCTTCGGTATGATGAAACCAGCCCATGGGCCAGCAGTTTGACACCCCTGTTCTAATGTATTGTAGGAAAAGTATGTTATTCTCCAGAGGTTGCTGAAATACTGCTGTTTAATTGCAGCTAGCAACTGTGCATGGCTGCTTCCTGATGGATGCCAGACAAGGTTTATGTAAGATAGCAGATGCTCCCCTGTTTCTATTTTAAAAATGCTTCTTTAAATCTTACCATAGAAATGAAATTTCTTAAGAAAAGTTTCTATTTAAGAAATGCCTATTTAAGAAATGCCACAATTGCATTGCTGTCATCAGGTAAGAGTTACTTTTATTTACAAATTTCATGCATATCTTCTCAGAAATAATACTCAGAGCCATATTGTAAAGTAAATGGAAGGATTGGAGCTAAGTTTATTTGTATGCAATTTTCTTTCATTTATATTTATACCTAGAGAAAAAATGTCCACGATAAAAATAAAGGTATTTCCCCAACACAAAGTAACTTTGCAATTAAAATATAGCTAAAAGAACATGTTCAAAAACAGCATTAAAAAAACCAAATACAATTTTTGCACATCTGTTCAGAAGTGAGTTCCACAGAATCCCACCATAAAATAAGTGTGTACAGGACTGTAGTTTGAAGGCAGCATAAATGAGAAATTATCAGGACTATTGAAAGAGACTAAGCAGTAACTCTGTTATGTTTAACTTGGAAAGAGATCTGATTCTTATTGCTGATGTCACACATTTATTTATTTATTATTTATTTATTTACAAATATTTATATGCCGCCCAATCCCAAAGGACTCAGGGCGGCGTACAAGTTAAAAACAGTCATAAAAGAATAAAATAATCCAGTCATACCGCGAGTCCAATCATATCCCGGCCCCCCGGGGACATCAGCCCCAGGCCTGCCGGAACAGGAGAGTTTTAACGGCTTTCTTAAAGGCCGGCAGGGTGGGAGTAGTTCGAACCTCGGAGGGAAGTTGATTCCACCAGGTCGGAGCCACCACAGAAAAGGCCCTTCCCCGAGGGCCCGCCAGACGACATTGTCTGGCCGACGGGACCTGAAGGAGGCCCAATCTATGGGACCTCACCGGTCTCTGGGAGCTGTGCGGCAGAATGCGGTCCTGTAAGTAACCTGGCCCTATGCCATGAAGGGCTTTAAAGGTGATAACCAACACCTTGAATTGCGTCCGGAGACCCACAGGAAGCCAGTGCAGCTCGCAGAGGATAGGTGACACGTGGGCGTACCTTGGCGCGCCCACAATCGCTCTCGCGGCTGCGTTCTGAACCAACTGCAGTCTCCGAACGCCCTTCAAGGGTAGCCCCATGTAGAGCGCGTTACAGTAATCCAGTCTTGAGGTGACAAGGGCATGAGTGACTGTGAGTAAAGCCTCCCGGTCCAAATAAGGCCGCAACTGGTGCACTAGGCGAACCTGTGCAAAGGTCCCCCTGGCCACAGCCGATAGATGTTGTTCCAAATTTAGCTGTGAGTCCAGGAGGACACCCAAGTTGCGTGCCTGCACTGAGGGAGGTAAATTTGCACATTTTGGCTTATCTGTTCCTATATTCCTATATATTGTCTTAATTCTAAAATTCAGGATGTTTCCTGTTATTTACCTGAATGGCATCCAGGACCCTATTTGTACTCCGCATATGACTGATTCTTTGAAAATATAACATTGAATCACAAATTAAACAGCCATTTTTCTGTCTAGGATGGTAGAATAACCTATGGAGTTATTTTATGTTTCTGTGTGTCATTCAAACAAAGAAATTGAATCACTTTATTAAATCACAGAAAAGCATGTTGTGTAGAGGCATCATGTATGGTTATGACCATTAGCTTCTGTTCTTGCCTTTCCCAGCTGATATGTTCTGACCACACATTCTCAGTAATGACTCGGGTATCACCTGTTGGTGATGCTGGCTGGAAGTTCTGAGCATTGCACTCTTAACTAACTGCTCCCCCCAAAATTAAAATATGTAACTGGACAGTGAGGAAAATCTATTCCATCCCTTTGTATTGTTTCCACTGGTCCCAACAGCCCCCCTCCCATCTCCCATCTTGGAGGATAATTTCTTCAGCTGCTGTTTGCCCTTTTAGACTCCATACATGAACTAACTTTTGCACAAAACCCTTCAAAGTCTGCAACTATAGCCAGCCACTCAAATGTTCAGCAGTTTATGTGGTACATGGTAAAAAAAAGTATAAAAATGAGGAAGTAATAAAGAAGGGAGGGTGAATAAATAAGTTTTCACTCTCATTTTTATAGGATATAGAAGGCATAAACAGAACTACCTCTCTTAAGCTTTAAAGCTTAACCTTTTACAGCTACAGGGTAATTTCCAAGGCCTTGTTTGACTGTTTGCTTGCTTGGTTATTTTATCTCTTGCATTTATATGGCTGCCATCCACAAAAAGCAACCTTGGACAGTATACAACTTGTATATTTGTAACCTTTTCATATTAGTAAGACAATTCAGAATTTGAAAAACCAGTCCCTTGGAATAACTGCTAGGGGCTTTTGCAAACTAACTACCATGAAGGACATAAGATGTAAAGTACAAGTTGACTAGAAGGCTGCTCTTTTTGTATCCACAAACTCAAAGGTTTGGTATTGTCCCTTCCTAAATTTGTCTTTTTCTTCTAAATTTCAAGCAAAGATCGGAGTTGCAGTGGCACATCATATTTATTTCCTAAGAAAAGCATGTTTGAATATATACTTGTGTACAAATGGATGTGTAAAACTAAGGCAGGGAGCCTGCAATTGCACGAATGGTGTCCACAGATATAAGGAGACCACTGAGGATCATGTTGAGGATCGCAAGGGTTGCTGGGTCAGGATTGTTCATTTGGCTGCCAAAGATTGCCATATAAGGTTGCCATATATCCAACCTTATATGACAAAACAGAAACAAATCCATCTTGTTTAGAAATGAAAAGATGACTGGCAAGCCCCTTGGCACTTTTTGCTATTCTTCAATATTGTTTTAGTAATAATGACATTTCTGTATAGTCAATTTGGAAAAGAACATTAGCATTAGTGGCTAATTCAGTCATTTGATCAAATAGAAGCTGTTGTAGAGAACTGAGCCCCCTGATTCTGTAACATCTGCCATTCCTTTGGGAAAGGGCACACCTATTATAAAATAAAGACAACTTAATCTCTTGTGATTTATTCTATTTCATTATGTATGAGTTCCTGCTGAATGAGATTTCTCTGAGTCTTAGGAAAATATATATGATCTTCTGTACTTCACCTGGAAGTCAGTGGACTTTTTTCAATGTTAAATAAATCTCTTCTAATCTTAAAATGCCACCTCCTTGGCTATATATGCCATTGCTCTCTCCTTCAAACCCACCTTTTCTGGGTGGCTTAACTTATTCCTATTTCCAACCATAATTTATCAGTGTTGTATGCATTTTCTCATATTCAGTATGGCAATGCCCATCTTTTTAGCCTTTCTACACTGATGTTTTACATTCCACTCTGGTTTAAATTGGGAGAAGAAAATTTTCTCTCTATTTATGGAGCTCCATAAAATATGCACAATATGCACTGCTAGCAATATATGAAACAATAATATAATTGTGATCTTGGCAATATCTAGTTGGGCCTTTTGATGAAAAGATATCTATAACATGGAATTCTGTTACTAAAGTATTGTTACA